TTAATTATGACTTTTTTGGTACAGGCCTGATCTCCTGGACAGCACAGCCTTCCACTCAAGTGTGCAGAATTGTGTCAGGTACACTAAGTCAACGATATGAATTCGAGATGGAGAAAGCGGGAATGGAAGACACGGCACACATGGACTCAAGATTAGAGCCTGAACCACAGGGAGTCTGCACATTTCATGCTGTGCTACCATTTAATTACATCCTCCCCTGAAACACTGCACAGATCCAAGCCCCAAGTTTATTTCTGAGATTGAATAGGAAGAACATAAACACTAACTCAAAGACAGCACTCTGTATGTGTGTGTGTGTGTGTGTGTGTGTGTGTGTGTGTGGTATCGGGAATCGAACGCCGGGCCTTTGCACTGAGCTACACCCTTAGTCTTTCTTTCATTTTTTACTTTTTACTTAGAGACACAGGTTTCCTGGATCCCTAAGTGGCTTAGGCTGGATTGAAGTGGGAGTGTCCTGCATCAGCCTCCTAGAGTGCTAACATTACAGGCATGCATCATCATGCTTGGCAAGAGCATATTTATAGATAGATCCATGGAGTTGTGGATAAGAAATGTAGCACAAACCTGGGTTCAAATCCCATTAGCAGTGTGCTGTCCATCAATGCTCTGTGCCCCAATTTCTTCAAACATAAAATGAGGACAGTTATAGTACCCACCTTCTACAGTTGTGAGTATTAAATGAATTAGTGACACAAAACTCCAAGACTGTCTCTGCCCAACAGAAAGTGTCATGTAATATTTGCTAATATTACTATGGCTGGTAAATAAAATTATAAAAACAGCTCAGATAAATTTCGCTCTTATATAACCCCTCCTCTTCTGATCATGGATGGAACCTATAACTATCATAAGATTTCCTCTGTGATGATGGCAGGTTTTATGACCAGAGGGAGATTATCAGTGTGGTCTAACCCGATTATACCAGCCTATTAAAGCAGAGCATTTTCCCAGCTCATAGAAGACAGAAACAGAGATTCTAGGGGAGAGGTGCTTCAGCAGGTTGCTGCTGGCTTTGGGATGCCAAGGAATGTGAGCAACTGTGAGCTGCTGGGAACAGTCTGCAAGGGGCAGAGGAGCTCAGTCCTACATCCACAAGGAATAGAATTCAGTGAAGAGCTCTACTGAGCTTGGAAGCAGATTCCTACCCTGAAAGTCCAGATGGGAAGTCAAGGGGGTAGATATTTTCATTTCAGTTTTGAGGCGTTTTGAACAGAGATGGTCTCTGCGCCTCTCACATACAGAACTGCAAGAAGATAAGTGGGAATTGCTTTATGATGCTAAATGTGAGTTAATTTGTTTTGCAACCATACAAAGAAAAGGCGCACACACTGATACTACCCCTGGGGTTAGCCTTCATTCCTGAGGCCTGGGGCAGGTCCACCTGCTCTTTGTCTTTGTCCCACCAAGGTGTCTCCTAGCCTGCAGACATCTGGCTATACCATCTTCCCCATACCGTCTGGCTCAAGGTATTATGACACCAATTACAGTGTACTGTGAGAGAGCTTACTATCATCACTTCTATTTATAATCTTTCTCTCACCACAAAATCTCTGCTCTTAACAATGATCACCACCTTAATTTCCTTAAAGATTCTACTTTTTTGCATTCATATAGGCTATTTTCTTTAGGGGTAAGGAAAAGAAAGAGGGAAAAAGATGAGAGGGAGAGAGGGAGGAGGAAGGGAGAGAAGCAGAGAGAAGTATGGAGAGGTAGAGCAGTGAAGAGAAAACAGGAAATGGACAACTACTTCTTGACCGTTCCCAAGGATTTGAATGCGGACATGCATGCTCTCCCATATCCTTTCCTTTGTAACGTCAGATGTCTGATCCTGTCGTCTTATAGGAACCTCACACAAGACGCAAACAAATGAGCAGAGAACAACTAAAAACCCAAAGGGTAACGAAAATATTCAGAAAAAGAGAAGCAGGACTCAGGAGAGCTGTCTTCCTGGAATATTAATGCCTTATGGCAAACTACATGGAAAGAAGATACATAGAAAAGGTACCAGACAAGTCCTGTTTTTCCTGTTTCTCTTTGCTGAGAGGCCTTTTTGAAATGGCTGGCTCACTTAGAGCCCTGCTTTTTAAGTAGAAGTTAAGCAAAATGGAAAGGCAGTGATTTTTAAAACATTGAAATAAGCAGTCCCAGCTTCACAAGGTAAATTGAGAATCAGTTGAAACGAAGTAGCAATGTGTCTCCTTTCAGATCTCCGGGTGTAAGGGTGCAGTGAATCCCTCTCATCCCTGTGCCAGGGCAGCTGCAGAACAGGACACGGACAGAATTATAGTCACCAGGGGAACACATGACGTTGTTCAGCACACTCGGGGACATGATAAATAGACACCTAGGAAAAGTAATTTCCGATCCACAGCAGGCACCCAAAGGGAAAGTCTGCTTATCCCAAACCACTCTGATTTTGTCAGGGGCCATTCTATGCTATGATATTTACTTAACCTCTGTTTGACATTCATCTTCAAAAATATTGTACGGAACATTTGTTTGGGGGGTGTACGGTGTGCGTCTCACACTTCCCTTGCACTTCACTGTGTACCACCATCAGCCCACTGGGAGATTTCTTCAAAAGGTCACCCATCGTTTTCCTCCAGAAATAAGGAAGGAAAGCTGAGCAAACTTAAGATTAATAGGTACATAGGGAAACAAAGGGTTTTGACTAAACTTGAAAATAGGAAGATGAAAATGAAAGATCCATTTGTAACTGAGTTTTAAGAAGAAGGTAGAAGACAAGTTTGCTCCAAGACACACACACACACACACACACACACACACAGATCTCCATATTCCTCTCAGAGCTCCACATCCTCTTCAGAAGGCTTACATTGTGGGAAAGTGGGAAGAACGCACTCAGTACAAATTCTAACTTGATCTCTCTCCCAGCCCGTCAGTCTACTAACCAGCTCTCAGACACTGTTTCCTCATCTATAAAATGTGGACAGTAATGGTGACTCACCCAAAAGGAGCTTAGGGGATAAGCAACACTGAATCCAAGGACTGACTGATGGAAAGTGCTCATGGTAAGTGTTCATGATAAGCAGCTTTTATTAGTATTCATCATTTTCTTAAAATGTCCAACTGAAATGAAACTGTTCTAGAAATGAATTTTTCAAGTTTTTTTTTTGCTTCAGCTGAATTCTCTTTGGTTGCCTTTCTTTATATTTTTTTATTCCAAATAAATAACCTCATATTCAATTTATTAAAAATACTGCTACAACCCTGCCATTTGGAGGTAGTAATTCGTTTTATTTTCTTTGTAATCTTATTTCATTTTCCATTCTGGAGATCCAAGGCCTCATGCATGGTCGGCAAAAACTCCAGTCTTGAGCTACAGTCTCAGCCCAGGGAGTACATTTTTACTGAAGCTGGACGTCAGGTTTCCATTCATGCTAGAAGCTGCTTTTTTCTCTCTTTCCTTGGCCTCTCCTGCCAGGGTGCACCCCCAATTCTCTGATTGTCTAAGGCACAGCAGAACGGCAATTCATCCCTCTCCCAATAATGTTCCCATTTGCATATCCCAACACTCTTAAAACTGCCTCGTTAAGCAAAGTCTCCATCTGGTTCTGATTTGTACCTTTGGAAATTAGGAGACCTTGAAGAGGCTGAACAGGGTTTGTAAAGGTGATTGCTACCTTTCCCTATCCTACAGTTGCTAAGTGATGGCTGTCTCCTGCGTGCTGCCTGAAAGTGCGCACTGACTAGAGAATGAAGCGTGTTTAATAACTATGAGCTCCTTTTCCCTGACCCTCTTGCACACATCCTGTCCCAAAGAGCCAGATTTGAATGTTCTTTGGATTGAAATCCTGAGCGTGTGCAAAGAGGCAGAGAGGAAGCTGGGCCCCAAATGCTAAGAGACAAGGTCGATGAGGGCAGCTGGCACAGGCCCAGGAGGAGGCCAGGGACAGGAGCGGGACTGTGTAGAAGCTCTCTCTTTGAACAACCAACAAAGAGTCAGCAAAGAGGACGGGGCAACTGCACAGTGAGGAGGAAATGGGCCACAGAGAGTAGCCTCACCTCTCTCCTCTCCTCTCCCACGGCAGCAGCAGCACACTCCCATTTTATTGCTTTCAGTTCTCTAGTCCATCTGTCCAAAGGACCTATAAGAGCACATGAAAATGAAGTAGAGTCTTCTCCACCCCACCCCCAAGTTTGCTGACTCAATTCATCCCCCTCTCCTTTAGGCCTTCCTGTTTATGTTGTCACTTCATTTTATTTTTTATTTTTAGCCCTGATTTCGGAAGCTTTTATTCTGCTGGCCATTGGCAGAGTGTCAACGGCATGGCTCTCAGCTCTGAAAGGATCATTGTACTGGTCTGGCCTTAGTCCCTGCAGAGACAGAGAGCCAGTATAGCCACCTCACGCTGCCTCTTCACCAGCCCGGCCAGCCCGGGCCTGTGGCAGCGGGCTGGCCAGTGCAGTGCTGACGGCTATGGGAAATATTAGCGACTTACATTTCAGCAGACGCAAGCCCTCCCTCCCAAATGGAGAAACTGAGACTCAGAAGGGACTGGTCCTGCCAAAGTCATTCATGAAGGTGGCAGAACCAGGTCCCAAGCTTTGGACAGTTCTGGTGTAATTCTCTTTCTGTACATTAGCCAATAACCTATGGAACAAAATAATCGTTTCTTAAACTTCACCAGTGTCTGCCCCATTTTGTTATTTACATGATTTATTTCTTGACTCTGAAAGTACTTACAAAAAACTAGGACCTTGGTAGGAACTCTTCTCATTGTGCCCACGTGCTCTTCTGTTACTGTTTTTCTTTAATACACATTTTGATTTTATTTATTTTGTGCCGTAAGCCAGGAGCAGCAAGCTGCTGTCCCTCGCCTCCTCAGACTGGCTGCAGTAGCAATGAAGGGACAAGCTTCAGCTCCCAGGACAATGCTCTCTTTGACAGGGAATATACCAAAGCAGAATTACAAGTGTGCAAGAATAAACAAGGCTGGAGTCAATCTAAAGTTGTTTTACACTCTGTTTTATTAAAGTCAATGCATTTCCGTTCCTATGTGCCCAGCCTAGGCTTGCTTAATTATACACACCCGGGGCGAATGCTAATGGAGACAGAGGACAGTTGGTGATTGGAAACCAAGGCCCTTTTCTGACCTCTACAGGCCATTTGGAGGAAAAAGGAAGCTGATTCTGGAAAATTACAGACCAGGAGGCACTGCAGCGAAGAGCTGAGGGAGGATTTTCCTAGATGCTTCCTTCCTACTCTGAGTCAGCTGGACACACACGTGTCCCACTTCGCTGCAGCACCGCTATCCATATTTAATAGGTTACTGAGGCAACGGGTAGGAGGTCATTCTTAGGAGACCTTGCAGTGGAAATTAAGATCATGATCATTCAACACATATTTCATGAAGGCCCACTACGTCATGGGCAAGGTGCTGGGTTCTCAGGATGCAGCAGTGAACAAGTTCATCTTTGTTCTCCAAAAAACTAGTCTGGTGGGAGGAAAGAGGAGCTCACAGGAAACACCATGCAAAAACTGACAGGATGTCTTTACGATGTTGTGAGGTTTTAGAAGCAAACCATGTTCCCGGAGGAGAATGCACGTAAGCACACGATGCAGGTACTTGTGTTAAGAAAGGAGATGAGAAACATAAACAGGCTCAATCAGCAAGGGTTCAGGTTCAGGATCTGCTCATATTTATTTATCCTAGGACCATAAGAAGCCACTGACAGATGTCAGCAGCAGAAATAGAAATCCGTTCTCATTCCAAATGCCATTTTGCTGCTCAAAGAGTTGGAGCGGAGGCAAACACAAAGTTTAGAAGAATGAGAGGAAATCGTTGTTTAAATCAGGATGAAAATTGCCCCAAACAGAGGAAGCTGTGGATTAGTTCAAACTAAAGCGAAGGGAAACACCGGACCACACTGACAGATTCACCCTTTTAGTAAAGAGCGGAGTATCTGTTCTGGACTTGGGTTGAGCACCAGGGATCAGATTTCCATTGACATGGTCAAGCTTAGGAACTTGGAGGAAGATTTTAGTGAGAGTGGGTGGAGATAACGAAAGTCTGACTTAGAACCTGTTGAGATATTGAGAACAAGTTATTTATATTTGGGTTAAATATTGAAAACAACAAACAATAATATGTTTTCCTAGAGGCACAGAGTTGTTCCCTGGCCTCAGATAGGTCCTTAGAGGTCATTGAAGACAGGTGTTTTTCCTTGATGTCTTTAGCAAACAGATTGCACGTAGTAAAGTCAAGATTCTATTACTTAGTAATTATATAGATTATGGTTCTCCAGAGGAACAGAATAAAGGGATGTTTTAGGCCGTCTGCACACTTTGGAGCCAGAGGATTCAGTAGCTACTCAGTTCAAGAAACTGGAAGCCCTAGAGCAAGAGGAATTAAGGATTCAGGGCCAATCTGAGTCTGAAGGTGTGGAGGTTCTCTGGAGAGTCCCTGGCATGAATCTGCAGTGAAATGCTCAAGAAGCTAGAGTTTGATATCCACAGGTAATGATAGCATGAAAAGAGACAATTAGGATTGAGCTTATAAGTACAGGATGACTTCCTCCTGCTTCCTCTTTTTCTTCCATCCAGGTCCTCAGCCTATTGGATGGTGTTACCTATAACCAGGTGCGGATATTTCCTCACTGAATTTGCTGGCCTACATGCCAGTCATCTCTGGAAACACCCCCAAAGACACACCCAGAAGTATGCTTTAATAATCTACTAGATGTCTCTTAATCCGTTCAAGTTGACAGTCATGATAATCAGTACTTTCACCTATAATATAACCATAAGAGGGAGGGCTCACCTCACTCACCTCATTTGCTGTATTGTGAGTGATAAACATGGCAACATGCACAGTAGTCTGAAGCAGTTATTGTCAGCAATATTCATATTCACTAATGCTACCTGCAATTGCCCATTGCTGTGGTACCATTTATATCACTTCCTATGGGGAAATGGAACAACTGTGCATTGGGAAGTCATACTTCTCTGGGATCAGTTCCACTTCCATTCTTCACTAAAATTGTCACTGGGAGTATAGCTGAGCTTCGTTTTGAAGGTGGCAATCACAATGCCAGTCTATCCTACAGTTGGGAGTGAGAGTTAAGTGAGCGATTATGCAATTGCCTGAGAGGAGCAGGGAACCAGGCAGATGTCTCCTTAGTGATACCTTCTAAACTAATATCCTATTTAGACCGGAATGTGGCTGGGACCTATTGATATTCTGTCTAAGAACATTGGTTTATGTAACCTCCACACTCTGGATGCTTGGATGGCAGACCTTTTGTCTTCTTGGCTTCCTCACATTTCTGCACAGGTGCTACAGAATGGATCTTGGTGCCATGTCTTATCTTGCCCTGTCAAACTCAAACACTTCAGCTGGATTGCTCCAAAGAATCATGTGTAAATTTTATTATTTTGTCAGGGGGCTGGTCATAATACTTGTCTGTTACCAAGAAATCATTTTAAGCCCCGAAGGCTTTACAGAGCATAAAAGATCACGGGAATCCCCCAGTGTAGAAGATTCAGTTTGGTTCAGGTATGTCACCAGCCCAGCACCCTCCTTTGTGTGGTAGCTTGTTATAGACCTAGACGTAGTTAATTCAGTAATTTTGCAACAGACTGCATTCTCTCCCAAGGGGTCTGAACCTATTTTGCTTTGTGACCCAAATGAACCTGAAATACACAAAACATTTGGAGACCAGTTTGTGACATAATAATGAGAGATGAACCTTTCCTTATACCTGGAAGATCTCTATCTGTTTCTGTGTGAGAGGATGGCCTAAAATCATCCCTAGCCACCTCCGGCCTTTATAAATGTGTGACTGATGATAAAACTTCTGTCATCCTTTATTGTTTTCCTTAATCCCCATACTTGCCCTCTCTCTCTCTCTCTTTCTCTTTCTGTCTTTCTCTCACTTTCTGTGTGTGTGCATGTGTGTGTGTGTTGGTAGGGTGTGGTAGGGATTTCAGCCTATGTTGGCACATATGTAACAAATGTTTTATATTATTAGTTATTAAGTTATTTTATTATTAGCCACTGAAAGGATTCAAGCCAACCCACTTTTATTTTCAAAGTCCTTTCTTAACACTCACTTTTATTTAGATAATACTTTTTTTTTTTTTAATCAAGAATCAGGTGGGCATGCATGAAGCCAGTTTGCAACACAAACAAAAGAGGACCTCTGTGGGGCAGAGAGCAGCAACTCCAGAACTGAGGAGTTATTGTTGTCCAAAAAACTCTGGTGGTGAGTAGCATGCTACTGTCTATGTGTCTTTCTAAGATGCAAGCTTTTGGGAGCCAGAGTGAAGAGTACCAGCAGTACAAAATAAATCCATCACTAACGCTAACCCAAATGGTCAGACCCACCGCGTAGGTCACTGTGCTGAGTTCCTAACGAGATGACATGGCAGGCATTCCATAGAAACCTCTTTTCTTGTCATGTGGCAGAGGCTCCTCTTGGAATATGAAATCAACTCCACAGCTAAGTTTTCCAGGCTGATAAACGGAAGCTGCACATGTGAATTTCTCCCCCTGTTAAGGATTTAATGTGACCTTCTGGTGTTGGCAGCCCTCGATGTGAGCTTGGAACTCAGGGGTCAGGTCAGTCTCACACGTTCTTTGTGGCTGTCAATTCTTTTTCTGGAGGCTTAGAAGAACCCGGAGCCAGTGAATGGAATTCTTGGATGCTGATACTCACCGATGGGACTGCAAGAAGCGTGCAGGCAGCCAAGCTGGCACAAAGCACCCTGAGCTGCACAGCCAGTTCCTGCCGAAGTGAGCGCGTGGTCCAGAGCACCTGGATACATGCTCCAGCCAGCAGGGAAACACAGAGATGCTGTCCTTCCATTGTCACTGCTGTGTCTAAATGTTTGCTTTATACAGGTGAAGACAAGGCCACCAGGCTCCTTCGCAAGCATGCCTCACCCTGGAAGCTGTCTTCCATGGCAACAGCCTGCTGGAGAGGCACTATGCCTTTATAAGATGCCCTTTTAGTGAAACTATTTTTCTTTCATGTAGCACCAACTCTGATTGAAGATGGAAAATCAAAGAAATTCAAAGAAATATATGAGATTTCCTTAAGATGTTAAATGTCTGGTTTGGAAGCTAGAGGTCAAGTAGGGGAACACATTTCCGTGAACACCTTCAACATGTCAAAAAGTCTGCTCCATGCAATGAGAGATGCAAAACTAACAGCAGGCTCATGCATTTTAGAGCTCACTACTCAATACTGCCTGAGGTGAGGGTATACAAAGCATATAAGTCAAGTTGGAAATGGTAAATGTGCCGCAAAATAAATGTATAAATACTGCAATGGTGCACAGGTTATGTAACTTGGCTTGGGTGTGTAGAACAGGTTCTATGGGACAAAGGTGAATCTGAACTGGTTTTGATTGCCCCACATAGGGTCATGGAAGAGGAGAAGCTGATCAGAGACAAGGGAAATATGTGAGATGGTTTAATAAATCAAGGAGGTATACTTAGGGTGTTGTGTGACTCAACAAGTAGTATGTGTGCCAGGAGGGGACAATAAAAGCAGGCTTCTGTAGATAAACTTCTTCTGCTTCCATTTCCTGATGTACCTGCAGCTTGTTGGGGTCCTTTCCAGTTCAGCATCTTGTTGGTTTCCAACAGTCAGCATGGCCCCAAGTGGCACCCATAATCTTCACCTCACTGCAAATATTCTGTTCTTCAAATGTCATAATATCACAGCCTGGGATAGCCTCACGCTGGTGAACAACCAACCCCCGCACAAATGCCAAACTGTAGGGCATGAGCAGGTTGGGACTACGGTACTGAAGCATACATGCTGGTGTTGAGCCCAGTTCTTGACACATCTCTGCTGGAAAGTCTTGTAGATCTCCCCTGTCACATTCAGAATTAAGTTTAGTCCCTTCATCAGGGCACAACTAATATTATTAAATCTGACTGTTATCTAGTTTTTCTATTTAATCTCTTGTTACTTTCCTCCTTTCTCAATATGCAAATGTATCCTTTAACCAGTAACACTGAACGTTTTAGTCCACATCTAAACTTCACTACAGGTCTCTATTTCTCAGCTCTCTCTATTTCTTAGCATGTATTTCCCCACGTTTTACCTGTAGACTCATGCACAACTAAATTTTCTAAGTGACAACTACTTGAAATTTCTTGTAGCTGACTTTTATCAATGAAATCTTAAATGTTTTGCATATTATCCTTTACATAGCTCCATATTATCCTTCACATAGCTATATGTCCCTGTACTAAATTAAAATGTTAACTATTCTTATCAAGTTACAGTAACTTGAGTCCACAGTAAATTTTGTATGAATTAATAAAGTGCAGGACACACAGTGGACAATTAGTTTACTTTTGTTGTATAGATAGACCAATATTATTTTATAATATAATATTACAAGTCCCTGATTTTTTCAAAAGTTTCCTCATTGAAACTTAGCTGTTACTGTCCCTTTTTCTCATGAGCATGCAAAAATTAATTTGGGCTGAGGTATTAATTGTGGACAATGAGTTAGTATTGCTCCTACCCCTTCCCCCGCATCTACATTTCAGCAGTATTATTTCCTTGACTCCTTAAAGCAGCGGAGAAACAGGAGAATTATGCATTCCTCTATTTAACATTGGCAAAAATGTATGTGGGAACAGTTAAGGGATGCTGTTAGTTTAGAATCTGAATTCAGTGTCTTGTTATTTCCTTTAAACTTCTTACATATGCCATGGAAATGTGATTGTCTTAATATGAAGCATTGCTCTGAAATTTCTGGGCTGCAGGAAGAAAATTTGTAAAATAGTTGGAGACAGAAAAGATTATCAATAATGATATCAATTCCCTAAATCACAACACGTATGCCTTTTTATTATATCTTATGTTTAAACTGTGGCAAGATTTTGATCAGCATTTTTCTGCTAATCAAGAGGAACAGAACACTGCATGTTTTCTCTGGAATTATTTGAATTTTTCCAAAACTCTCTGGGTGGTCAATGGTATATCAGGCAAAATCTCTTTTTAAGATATATGATCACCCAATATGCACTATTTTATTTGCCTTTCCCTTAGCATTAAAACTTTAAATTTCAACTGGGTCCATCTCAGATAAAGACTATATTTTCCAATCTCTCCTGCAGTTACTTTTGGCCATAGGACTACTTTCTGGCTGGTGGGATCAAGGGCAAATACCGTGTATAGTCTTTCGAAAAGTAGGAATCATGCCCGGTTTGGGGGTATCCTTTTTGCTTCTGTCTGAGTTGCAGAGAGAAAAGCTGATGCTGTTCCAGGAATGCTAGGTCAGGAGTAGAAGCAACACACAGTAGAGCTAGAGGACTAGAAATTGGGTTCCTGTCATCATGCAGCCATGATACCAGCTCTGGCCTCTGGACATACATGTGAAATTCTACATGAAAGAAAACTACACTTGATCTTAGCCAAAAGGCCAAGAAGTGATACATGAAAGAAAACTTATATCTTGACAAAGCTACTAGTATTTTGAATTTTCCATCTCTAAATATCTAAATCTAATTTTGGTTAAATACATATGACATTGAGTACACCCCTATTAGCCTTAGCACACATTCTTCATATCACCTCCCAATGTCTATCTGCCTTCCTGACCTCACCAGTCATGCCTCTGAGCTGCTTCCCACTACACACAGAAAGGCTCTGAAGGCATTCAGTCTCCTAGGCTCTTCCCCCATGTAACTTCCTTTCCAGATTCCTTCCAGTAAGAATATCTCTTAATCATATGGCCCAAGAGAACATTTTTTGTAACGGTGGGAATACTTACATAGAATTCTTTGTCTTGTGGAGGGGAAAAAGCCAACACTATTTTGCAGCATATGCCAAACTGCACACTTTTATATTCTGTTCATCTTTAGGGTAACTTCATGGTATATAGACACTCATTCTTATTGAGAGTATAAAAACCCTGAAATTTGGAGAGATCTAATTACTTGCCTAAGATTTCATAATAAGTAATGCCAGATTCAGGATATGAGCCTCATCTGTCTGTCTGATTCTGAAGTGAATGCATTTTCCAGTGTACTATGCTGTCTTCCAGCACAGGTTTAATGGACTGAATATGCAGGGTTTTGAAATTTGTGAGGACCAGTGACCATCTTTTATTCCCTAGAATCTATTCTGGCCTGTACTAAATCCATAAAACCTATACTATTACAGACCTGAAGGATGACACTCGCAATTACTTGACTGCACAGCCTTTTATGTTCAATCATCCAGTACCTTCTGGCCCTTCCAGAACCCTCAGAGTTTCAGTGAGGCTCACATTCGTTCTAGAAAGCTCACATGCTATGGTAGACGTAGCACTCATGTATGGAAAGTCACATAGAGCTATGGCTGAGAAGCCAGGAAGAAAGCCCCACCCCTCTGTTTGCAGTTGGCTTCAGCTTCAAGCATGGAAATACAGGAGAGCTCAATGTTGGGTGGAGAGGCCCCGTGGAAATCCTGTACTATGGGGTCCCATTCTAATTGCAATGGCAACATGCATAGGCAGTACAGCAGTGTAGAAAAATGTTACAATCATGAAGTACCCAGATTTTATGCAAAGGGAGCTAGAACAAAATCAGAACCTCACACAGACCAGCCGTTTCACACTGTGTGTGTCTGAGTCCAGTGTCTGCAAACAGAATGTTCCATGAACTTCAGGACTACAGGACAGTGTTTCTGCTCTGCTCTGTACCCTCCTCTTCTTCTCCCTCATCCTGATTGAAGGTACACTCCTGGATCTGCCGGTCTAACTCAGCAATGCTCCCTTCCTGGTCTGAGCTGCCATCTGAATTGTAGTCAACCTCCTCCATGCAGGCCGGCTCGTCGTCGAGTTCTGTGTTGTTGTTCCTGCTGCACCTGCCATGGGTTCCCAGTGCACGGAGAAAAACAGAAGGAGGGGAATGAAGGGAAGGGAACGTACCAAGAGGAAAAAATAGGAAGAGAGGGATAAAAAAAGGAAGAGGAAATTAAAAGAGAAGTTAGCCAAAAGGAACAATTCTTATAGTTACCTTAAATAAAATGATGAAATTTTCTCTCCCTGAGCTGTCATCTCAAGACTTGTTGCTCCTTTAAGGGAGTGGCACACAGACATTGCTGTGCCCTCAAAAACATTGCCTTGGGGTTAAGGGAGAGATCATATAAGATCCATGGGTTTGTTTCTTTCTTTGGTAACAGACTGCATTTTTAGGCCACTCAGATTTCTAATCACAAGGTGTGGACAGGGCCACCTATTTAGGATTCCCACACTTTTGAACAAGCTCAAAAGCCCGTGACCAACTATCTGGAAATGCCATGCCATCTACTGCCCGGAAAGAGCGAGGATGGATTCAGGGTAGGTGAAGCTCAAAACCCTCATGTTTCCCATTTTCACAAACAGCACTGCGAGGCAGAATGCGCTGCCTTCCTTTATCATGATGAATGGTGTGTTGGAATTCAAAAATTAATGCAGGTTGAAATTAATAAATGAGAGCGTAAGTGAGAACACAGCACTCTGCTCCTGCTCTGTTTGTGCATCCCCACTATCCGCCCCTCTTCCTACAACTTAACAAATTGATGATCAGTGATGGCTGACCTAACGGAGATAGAAGGGGGCAATGGGAACCAACCAAAGACTGCTGCATATTCTGAACAGGGAGTACTTCCTCTCAAGGAGATATATCTCCCTCATTTGCATGAGATACTTTTTTCCCTAAGACTTTCTAATCACTCCCTACTTAGGACTTAACCAATTAGGATTAGCAGCATACTGGGTTTCTACTGTGTGATTTATAGAAGGCAAGCACATCATAAATCAGGAGGAGCTGTTCATCCACCTGCCTCGCCATAAACAATGAAAATGGGTAATCAGCGGCATGGTTACATGTTAGCTCGGGAAATGAATCAGAGGCCAGTTTCTTAATTGTCTACTGATGGATGGGAGCTCTTTCTGTGCTCTCCAGACCCTCTGAACCCAAAACTGGAGGTCTGTTGGGACACTGCCTGAATGGATCAGAAGGGCAAGAAATATGAACCTTGTTGCCAAAGCACCACAACATTAAATTGATATCATATTTTACAGGCTGAATTGTGGATAATAAAGTAGTCAGGTAAAGGAAGGTAAGAGCTGCCCCAGCTGTAACACAATTTCAAATCTGCAAGACCTTGAGTGTCTGAGACTCACTTGCCACCATGCTAGGCATAAAAGTGATGTTGCCATACACTGTCAAGAGCCTGGTTTTAAATCGTAGCTGTGAGACTTGGGGTTAAAAAAAAAAACCAAACCTTGATCTCACAGAGCGGCAATAATAAATGCCTCAAGAGTTTAGGTGAATACTAAGTGAGAAAACACATGGATGCTGTCTGGTGGAGTGCCCTGTGAAATGAAAGCAATCAACAAATTTTAATTCCATGGCTCTGCTGCAGATGCTAAAGCTGGTAAAACATGGTGTGAAAGGAGAGTATGCATTTAAATTTGTTGTTTCACACCTGGGTTACTGCCGTACCTACTGAAACCATTCAAACTGGCACTGCTAATGTCTCCAAAATGTGGTTTGTATTATGTCGGTTCCAAATTCAGGAACTGCAACGACTCTCTGCTGCTTCCTAGTGCAGTATGAGTATCTGGTGGATAGCACTTCCCTGGTGGATGGAACCTCCCTGCAGGGTCCAGTTGGCAGAAGCCTAGGTATAGAACCCAACAGTCCTACCCTGGGCAGGTCCTGTCTTTCCTCTATCAACTGTCTACTCCACTTGTTTACAAACCTGGAACCTCTTCGTACAGCCAAATTGGTAGATGTTCTTGTTGCAGTCATTCAAACACAAAATTAACATTTTCCCAGCTTAACTAATGCAATCAGCTTCCTATATATACAATGATATTCCAGTTCCTCAGTATTCAACCAAATAAGGCACATTTTTTCTTCAAAAGCTCATCTGAATTTCTGCCAAAGGACTATTTTTTTTTTCATTAATTCAGGGTCTCTCTGTGTAGCTCAGGCTGGCTTGGAGCTCATAGGACTCGTCCTGCTTTAGCCTCTTGAATGCTATGATTGCAGACTGTGCCACCATGGATGGCCCAAATGACTAGTTTAATAAACCTCTCTCTTACTGGAAATTTCTTCTAAATAGCAGTCTTTACAGATCTACTTAATTTATTTTAATAGTGAATTTGGAAATAGTCAGACATGAATAAAGGCCATGGCTTGGCCACATTCATATCTTCTTTATTCTGTAGAATGTCTAGGGCATTTGAGAGCACAGTAGACAAACAATAAATGGTAGCCAAATTGAAACCTAACAGGGGAGTACACAAAAGAACTATATTGTGTGTCATCTTTGGGGGGAACTACTTGTTTTTTCTGCATTTCTTTGTCAAAAGCTTTTGTTCTGGAGGTTTAATTTTTCAAAGGTTTTATACAGGAATTATAACATAACTATTATGCTATGCATTTTGATGATGTAAAACAAAGATGGCTTCCTTTGTCACATGGGGAGATGTAGGTCAAAGTATACAAAATAATAATACACATGATCAGTTAATCTATAGATCTAATGAACAACAGAAAAGTGAAAGTCCCTTTTGTGTATTATTGATGCCATCCTGGATGAACAGTCATTTTGACCTTGGGGAAGATTCAGAAGTCACATGGTGGCAGATGGTGAATAAGGCAGGTGAAGACACACGAAGTTGCTTTTATTGACAAAAATTGCTGGGAACTTAAACTATAAACTGTTTCCCAAAATGGCAAGGTTTTCGGGAAATGTGTGTTCTAAGTGAGGGGGAATGTTTTGAGGGGGATTAATGGCAATGTGTCTTTTACTATATATTTTAAATAAACATTTAGCACTTTCTTTGATCACAACTTGTAGCTCAGAGTTCCATGCTAAAGATAACAAACAGCTGATCACAGAAACCTTACATCAGTGGAAGGCTTGGAAGATTCAACACAGTGAAGATGACCTCCATCCTAAAAGTGACATTCAAGTTCAACAGAATTCCTAACAAAATCTCAAAAGAAGTTTCACTTACTTACATAGGACAGTTCTAATTTAAAATTTATATGAAAAAAAATGGATCTAGAAGTAGCCAAATCAACAGTGAAAATAAGACTAAAATAGGAGAAATCCTTCTCCTTAATTTTAAAACTTACCAAGCGATAGTAATCAAGATAGTATGGTGCTGGGAAAGTGACAGAGGAAGAAAACACAGAAATAGATGCACACAAGTGAGGCCAACTGATTTTTTGTTTGTTTGTTTTTCTCCGGTACCAGGAACCGAACTCATAACCTTACGCTTGCCAGGCAGGCGCTTTTGCAGCTGAGCTAAATCCCCAGCCCGAGGCCAACTGATTTTTGACAAAAATGCAGCAGCAATTCTACGGGGGGGGAAAGATTGCCTTCAACAAAGGTGTTGGAGCAATTGGGCATTAGGGAAGGGCAAAGAAAAAGAAAAGGAGAGAGTGAAGGAAGAATGAGGGTGTGTTATGTTCCCATAAGCAATGTGAACATTATCTACTGCAAACATGCCCTAATAAAAACAGTTAAAAACAAAGAAAATTAACCTTCACCCAAATCTCACACTTTACACAAAATTAAATCTGAATGGATTTAGTTCCCATACAAGACATACAGCTGTAGAACTTTTAGGAACATGTCATTGAGGTCTAGGGCTAGACAAAGACATCTTAGAAATGAAATCATAAACATGATCCAAAAGACAGAAAAATTATATGCTAGGTTTCATCCAAAATACACTTTTGTAAGGCTTCGTTAAGAAGATAAAAAGTAAGCTAATAACTGTGAAAAAATATTTTTTAAAAACACTTATCTGATAAAGGACATTTCTGGAATTTGTAAACAACATTCAAAACAACTATAAAAATCTATTTAGAAAATATAAAAATGATACAAGAAACATTTCCATGAATAAGATATACAGAGGTCAATCAAGTACACGAGATGTTTGTTCATGCTAGCCATTAAAGAAATTTAAATTAATACTATTAGAAAGTATCAGTACATTTCTACTAAAAGAGCTAAAGTAAAAAATAATTATACACCAAATGCTGGAGAGCTTGTAGAACTATGTTTCTAATACATCATGGGTGAGAATGTACAGCTATTCTGGAAAACAGCATGTAAAGTTTTAAAAATAAAAATACACTTTTCAGAAGAGCCAGCAATTGCCCTCTTTGGCATTTATCCCAGAGAAATAAATAACTGTGTCCATGCTAAATCCTGTAAATAATTGCTCCTTACAGATTTACCTGTACTAAATCTCAAAACAATCAAAATGTTCTAAAATTGGTGAATGGTTAAACACAAGAGGGTGGGAGAATATTGCACTACTTGATCAAACAGAATGAACTACTGATGAATGATGAAGAAATCTTGGATCAGGGAACATGGATGACTCTTACAGGCATAAGGCTGAAAAGGGAAAAACCTGATTTCAAAGGATCCTTTGCTGTATGATTCCACTTACAGAATTCTCAAGATGACACAGTTACGGAGTAGAGAACCAAATAGCTGTCAACAGGGCTCCAGGACAAGGTGAAAGACCTCCGTGGTGATGGAACAGTTTTGCGTCGGGATCACAGTGGTGCTTACATAAGCCTAAACTGTATGGTGATAACATGAAAGCACACATACTCCATGCCAAAGTGGGGTCCTGGCCCCACAGGGCACTAAGTTACAGAAGTTTTTACTGTTGGAGGAAACTGCCTGAAACATATTATTCAGGCCACTATAGTGTCTGTGCACAGCTCTCAAAGTCTGTAATTATTTCAAAAGCTAAAAATTTCAAAGAGCTAAAAAGTCAAAAGTAAAAATATAAAATTTGGGGAGGGGATAAGAAGGGAAGGAAGGATAAGAAACAA